CTTATGTTAATATATGCACCTACCGAGCATGCTTTGTAGATTCGCATGTATAAGGATCCTTAGATTTAGTCATTCTCAGTTAACGATATAAGATTTTACATAAGCAACTAGCCAAATTTACATGTCCGTATGTATATATGCATACGCAAAGATATGTGAGTTCCTCTTTGCGGGATTTTTATTTCTTTTTATGTTATAGACAACATAATCTGTTCCACAAAGATTCATATGCATACATTCCGCGCAACCTCTGGGGTTCTTGTGCGTTTAGAAACCAAATTTTATTTAAACGGATCTAAAATTAGGTTCAACCCCGCTTAATCTGAAAACATATGGTAAAAACATATCCAAACCCCATATAGATGTGGTTTAACGATTTTTATTTTCTTCATATACAACTACGACCACTACAACTACCACTACAACTACTACAACACTGGAGCGTTAGTTTTTGAGTCAGCTCCTTGATTATGTTTTCGAAATCCTCTAACAAGAGTTACGTGTTCTATCGCAATACGTGATAAGTTACGGTGGATGCGGAATATATGTTTACTATAGCACTGATTTCAGAAAAGCAAAATGCCGACAAGAATTAAACTACTAAAACTAAGATTGCTACAAATTCGAAGTCATTGCTGATCTTTTACTGTCATATAGTCATGTCATTCAACTTCCAAGAATATTTAGCTGATCAGACATATTATGAGGCTAAAAATAATCAGAGTTAAGTAAACCTAACCCTAAGAATTCCGAAAATCTTAACAATCACCAGAAAACCCAGATATAATTCTGACCTGAAACTTGAACCAAATATAGGCGCAAATGGAAGTGAACACCTACCTATTGCGTAACCACTCTCACATCCCACTTCCGGGCAAACCAATTTGAAACCCACTTTCCTAAATATAAAAACAGGTTAGCAGATTTTAAATTTGGCCATTTCGGTAACATTGTTTACCGAAAATTCCTATATCAAGTTGATCCCTGTCATTACGAAATCCAGCTACAAGCATGATAGAGTATTAAAGTAGTTGACATATGTTTACATCGGTGTGGTCGTTGAGACCTTTTTTTGCCTTTAGCTGTGGTCGATGATGGGAGTGGCCTCAGCGGAGGTGCCATTGCTGGCATTGTGATTGGCGTCCTTCTGGCAATCGTTCTTTTGGTTCTTCTCTTCCTGTTTCTCAAAAAAAGAGGAAGTAGCAACGCGATGGTCGAAGAATTCGAGTGGTCGGAGAGCGGTGGAAGCTTCTTTAACGATGGCATTAAGGCGAGTAATGTTGGAAGGTAAGTTCCATCGTAGTTATTGCCATTTCTGTTTCCGAGTCACTCTTACTGTCAATTCCAACAAGATCTCCATTTGTGTGAGCACGCAATCTTCCTTGCAAGAGAAGTTCTGATAGGTATGCGGTCTCGCATTGCAAAATGTCCTAACACTACGGTGTTCAGCAGGTTAGTTAAGTGTTGTTAGCAACGTTTTCGAAACGTATCAGCAGAAGAGCTCCAAAGAA